GTGTATGCAGTGTGTGTGTCAGTGTAGTGAATGGAGTGTGTTTGTGTTAGTGCAGTGAATGCAGTGTGTGTGTCAGTGCAGTGAATGCAGTGTGTGTGTGTGTGTTAGTGTAGTGAATGCAGTGTGTGTGTGTTAGGGCAGTGAATACAGTGTGTGCGTGTTAGTGCAGTGAATGCAGAGTGCATGTTAGTGCAGTGAATGCAGTGTGTGTTAGTGCAGTGGATGCAGTGTGTGTTAGTGCAGTGAATGCAGTGTGTGTGTGTTAGTGTAATGGATGCAGTGTGTGTGTTAGTGCAGTGAATGCAGTATATGTGTGTTAGTGTAATGAATGCAGTGTGTGTGTGTGTTAGTGTAATGGATGCAGTGTGTGTGTTAGTGTTGTGGATGCAGTGTGTGTTAGTGTAGTGGATGCAGTGTGTGTTATAGTTATGGATGCAGTGTGTGTGTCCGTGCAGTGGATGCAGTGTGTGTTAGTGTAGTGGATGCAGTGTGTGTGTTAGTGTAATGAATGCAGTGTGTGTGTGTGTGTTAGTGCAGTGGATGCAGTGTGTGTGTGGTAGTGCAGTGGATGCAGTGTGTTTGTTAGCGCAGTGGATGCAGTGTGTTTGTGTGTGTTTAGTAGTGTATGCATGTAAATGTAATAACTGTTATTCCCCCCTCACTGTTTCTTACCTGTCCCCACCCCCCACCTCCCCCCCCCCATGGTAACGCTCTAACGGCCGCACATCTCGCGGAGTTAGAGCGAGGGAAATGTCGTAAAGTACAGCTGCAGTCCGCTTGGCTCCCTCTGCAAGTATAGGGAGCCGGGGGGCCCGCGGCTGCACCTATATATAGCGATCATTACTATATATAGGTGCAGAGAGTAATTGTGGGGCCCTGGACTGCCAAAGCAGTCCGGGCCCCCCAGGACCGCGGGGCCCGTGACAACCGTTAAGCGGCCCTGGCTGGCTGCATAATCTCTTTAGCCCTGGGAGCCGCAAACATCTTTATAAACACAAGAGCTATCACATTGCAGCCAGAGGAATAGGCAGAGGGGACCATAAATGCCTGGAGAGCTGCAGCATGGTCAGTGGAAAAGCTTCAAGCCTCTGCAACTGAGATTGAAGTGTTCCATGGTCACAGCAAGAAGCTAGGAAGTGAACCATGAGGTAGTACTCAGTCAGAGTACAGGAGCCCCGTCACAAGGGTTATCCACTAAAGTGAGAATTCAAGGTGAGTTCCAAGTGAATTTCAAATATAAGGTCAAAATAGTCAAACTGCAAAAAATCATCTATGCTTTGTATTCAGCTATTCTGGCCTTAAATTTGAAGTTCACCTTGAAATAACCTTGAATTCTTAGTTTAGTGAATGCCCTGTTAATGTTTAAAAACATATACAAATAAAAGCGTCATTAAACAATTAATTTAAAAATTCCTGTTAGTATTATTTTACTAAGATAGTAAGTAGAGAATGTGTCTTTAAAATTGTTAGACATTACTTTTTGACTTTTTATAAAGCATAAAATATAGCCTAATTATAACTAATACAAACATTAATATACATGTCATATATATGTGTGTGTGTGTGTGGAGGAAGGTAGTTTTAAGAGAAATAATAATTTTAAAAAGGTGGAGTGGTGGGAGGGACTCAAAACGGAATGAATGCCTAGGAGGAGTCTAGTGCCGAGGGTGAGTTTTTATATCAGCACTAGCCCCTCCGACAACGTCCGGCTCCGCCTTTACATTTGTGGTCAGGACAAAAAAAAGCCGTAAGTATAATTGATACCTTCTCATACAAGTAGGAGTATGACTAATTTGGTTGAGGTGTGTCGAAACCGACATATTGGTAGACCTGTAAATAAATTGGGCAAAAGATGTATGCCAAAAGATTTTATTCAATCAACAATAACTTAGTACAACATAACATCATAATACCAAATGTTGGAAAGCTTGTCTGATTTCTCTCTCAGGTTGTGGTATCTACCTACAGTACGCTGTAGATTTCCAGCACCCCAAGTGACATGGCAATATGAGTAGGTATGTTCCTGTGTGAGGCTGCTGAAGCTGCTCCAATATGAAAAAAAAAATGCCCGAGTTGCGTGAGGGGTTAAGGCCTAACCTCATCAACAAGATTCTAATATAAAGCATGAATTTGCTTGTCGTGAGGATTGTGTCTTGTAAGGTCAGTAACGGGTGATTTGTAGGTGCTTGTAAATTAGTCAGATAGTTATCGAAAGTCTTTACGGGCCACCATTTATTAAAGGTGGGATAATAAGGTATTGTGACGGTTTTATGTTCAAAAGGATAGTTATCCAAAAGGTCTGATAGTGACCTGAACACATTCCCCGTAATAGGCAATCTTTGTGGTGCTAGTGTTGTACTGCTCCTCTGAATTCCTTTTAATGAGGTCTTAATTTGGTAGGAGGATAAGAAGGTCTGTCTGTTTGGAAATAAAGTTAATATGTGGTGTTGTAAGCCTGTGAGGTAGAGTTTAATTGTATTGTAAGACAAATGTAAATTGAGGTGGCAAAAAGAGGCAAATGCTACCAAAGTTTCAATAGTGAATACGTCTGCCACCTGAAAGTCCCTAGTAAATTTTACAAAAACATTAAGAGCTCTTTTGTATGTACGCCTGGAGTTTTCGGACAGAGCTCTCTGTGACAGTATTCTGCCATGCTCTAGGAGTTGCCTAAATCCAATATGAGGTCTTGAAACTGGGGGGCCGAAGTTGCTACCAAGGAGGCATTGGGGTGGAGTAGGCGAAATTCCTGAAAACGGAAGCGGGACAAATGGTCGGCTGCTACGTTCTAAACACCCAGAACATGTGTGCAATACAAAAAGAACTGATGAGTGGCCGCGAGCCAAGTTAATCGCCTCATGAAACTCATAATGACTAGAGAGGGGAACCGTCCTTTATTAATAATATGGCATGTTGCTTGGTTATCTGAGTAATAATGGACCGTGTGTCCAGACCAGAAGTGTCCCCAAGTTGCTGCTGCAGCCACAATAGGGTATATTTCTAGTAATGACCAAATGCCTCCAATGTTCTGGTCTCAGGCGGTCAACTGCCCCATAACCATTGGTCACCCCAGATGGCCGCGAAACCAGAAAAAGCTGCTTCATCCGACTACAGTTTTGGGGAATCGAGGGACAGTGGAGGTATGAACATGGACTTCCCATTCCACTGGAATAAGAAATCCTGCCACATGCGTAAATCAGCTGTGGCCTGGGTATCCAGGGAGACCATGCTGTCCTCGGAGGGCAGGTTAGGCAATAGACATAAAAGTCTAGAAATAAAAGACCTGCCCTGCGGGATGATTCTCATGGCAAAATTCAACGACCCCAACAATGACTGTAACTCCTTCCAACTACAGCAACCCCGTCGCAAGTAGTCACTAATGTCTGCTAGGATACGTTGAATTTTGTCATGCAGCAAGCTGGCCTCCATGGCTACCGAGTCCAGTTCAATACCCAGAAAGTTGACCATAGTATCCGGACCTATAGTTTTGGAGAGGGAAACAGGGACACAACCTCCCAAACAGGTGTTTGGCGACCTGAAGACTTGAAGCTGGGTTATGATTACTCTCTATAAAGAGGAAGTCATCCAGATAGTGTAGTACTGATGGACATCTACATGAATTTAAGAGTAACCAGCATAAGGCCTCCGCGAAGTTGTTGAATATCCTCGGACTAATTTTAGACCCAAACATTAGCCTGTTGAAAAAAATAATACTGGTTTCTCCATTTAATACCATGCAGATGCCACAGCGACGGGTGAATAGGGAGCAGTTTAAAGGCGTTAACAATATCTGTTTTGCTTAACCATGCTCCTACCCCTGCCGCTATGATGGTTTGTACCACATCATCTATCATGGTGTACTGCAAAGAGAACTCTTCTGAAGAGATAAATGAATTCAAACTGGGAATGGTGGAGGAGTGAGGTGCAGAAAGGTCAATAATCAGTCTTTTCGAAGAGTGTTTCCCAGTTACAATACCAATCAGGTTTGTACGCCAACTAGAGAATGGGGGAGTGGAAAAGGGGCCTATCACAAACCCTTGATTCAGTTCCCGTGGTAACAGTGAATCAATTGCACATGGGTCGTTGACAGCAGATAGTAAATGTTACTTTCTTAATACCGGATGGTAAC